GAAAATGAATCTCCCTATAGTTCTCCCAAAGAACCTGTAAGAGTGAAAGATATGGAGGGAGCTCCCCTCTCAGATTCCAGGCCCCGTCTCTCAGCTCTATCTCTATCCTCTTCTGTTAGGCTGCAGGGGAGGAGCGTGGGGATTGCCCTTATAATTAGAAGCTTCATACCTCTCACAACTAATCACAGTCTGATCCTCCTCTCTACAATTGGCTTCTTCTCACTGCAAAATCCTTGGCTCCTGGGTGTTTTATTCTCCCTTGCTAATAAAGAAACGTATTTAGCAAGTAATTTTGCAAAGGTGCCGAACATCCTTCCCTCCAGCTCTTGTCCTTGGCTTTTGTTTCCTTCGGCTTCGACCTGCGCAGGAAAATCTATTATGCCTAAGCTATTATGATAGATCACTTTTAATTAATCCATTATTAAGTCTTGTTTGACACAGAACAGAAAGCAAAAAGTCCCAAAAATTCTCACTCCCAGTTCCTTTCACTGGGAAAAAGAGCTGCCTGTCAAATAAACTCCGAGCAGATACCTCCAGGAGGAGCTTGAGAAGGAGGTGGGCCACATGGGGAGGCAGAGTCCCCCATTCCTATACTTCTGCCTCTGCTGGGATGGAAGAACTGGGCTTCCCCTATAAGAAATTACTGGGAAACACCAGATCATCAGATTGGCGGGATTACATTTTACTTGGCTGCTCTTTTGTCATAAAGTTGGACCAAGCCACTGCAATTTCCAGAAAGCATTGGGGCAGTCTGAACATGGGACATACCCTACCTGGTACTCGTGATCAAAATTGATTTTTTTCCCAGGCTGTGGCATGGCATGAGGCCAGAATAAGAGATCTCAGTTTGAAAGTCCATGAATAATACTGGAAAAAGTTTTAATTGTCAGAAAGGATTAGCATTCAGTTCACCTTAAAAATAAAAAACTAACAACTACGAAATTACATTACAAAATATGTTTGGGTTTTTTTGTTTGTTTGTTTGCTTGTTTGCTTGTTTCTTTAAATCAAAACATGAGTTAGAGGAATCCATTGCAGAAGGTTAAAAGAGCACTTCTGAGTTTGTGGAAATCATCTCCATCTTACATTACACAAAGGAGAGTACTACATTTAAATGCTGCAGGCTGGAGCTCCAGCAGCCATTCAGCAGTCTTTCTGTGTGTTTAACAAAAAATACCAGTCAGTAAATCCTATCTACTTGACTGCATAGGAGAAGATGTCCAAATTTGAAAAAAATCAGTTTGTACAGCTCTGATTCAGCTATAATCATATTGATATGCCTCTGTTTAGTTCAAATTTGTTTTCTGTTTCTGTTGTGTCTAAAATTGATTTTAGCCCTGACAGCAATTTCTATTTTCTTGTCAAGCTTTGTCCAGAATAAAAAAATTAAATTTCCACTCAGAGAAGAAAGGAACAATGAATCAATTTTTACAAACAGCCAAAAAGAAAAACAACCCTCAAAAGCAATCCAAGTTGTGGCTAATTTGACAATGGCATCTTGCCCATGATCTGTCCTTCCTGGCTATGCTCTTGCTCAGATCCACTGCTGTCTTTGTGATACTCAGCCCTGTAAGTTTCCATTTAGTGTACTGGGGAAGAAAATTTGCCATTATTGCCCCTGTGTCCAGCAGCATGCCATTCCTAGATGTATCTACAAATAGTCTTTGAACATTAATGAAATTGCTTTCTCGCTGCATCCTATGAAAGAGGTGAAGCCTCTCCAGGATTTCCTTTAGAACCTGAGATGTCAGAGAAAGTGTGTTGGAGTCTGATTCGTGGCAAGAGCAATAGGAAACATATTCTGGTTTTCAGAAATCAGATAAAAGGAAACCAAAACCTGAAAAAGAAAAGGAGGAAAAAGCAACAATCATTCAGAAGCAAGGAAGGATAAATCCCATGATTCAGGAAGTCCCTAATCCAGACCAGACGTGGTATGATCTGTGGTGGGCTATGTTATTGCCAGATGCTGTTTTCAATGTGATTTATTTTAAAAGAATATTAGACTTGGCCATGAATCTTCCTTTGTTTGAATTGTTTTATCTGGAGGTTCTGAGTGACAGAAAGTGCACTGGAATGGGCTTTGCTCTTCTATGACAACAGACCCTTTTTCTTTCCACCATTTGTTGGACTCATCGCTATGAAATCGGGAGATAGTTCTACACCACTTGGCATAACATTCTGGGCATTGAAAGAACTATGGTGACTGCACTCAAGAAAATGATCATCATTTAGATGGACAGGCCAGTTTTGGTGCTGATGACAACACACATCACAACACAGCCCTCCAACTGATGGTGTATTTTAGGAGTAATTCTTGCTCCTACAGGCTGAGGAGTGGCCATAAGCCCAGTCCACTAGAGGACCATTCCCTTATCCACCGAGGGGGAAGCCCTTGGTAATTTTCCACAGTAAAGATCCAGCTTTTGTTTCTGAAAGCTTCTGGGCACAGAGGAGGTCTTTTGCAACCATTCAGAAATTTCTGCTGTTAGGGGAAGGGAAAATCCCAATTGCTTCTGAAAGGCAGGAGAGCTGGGAGTTTAAGTACCTGAATGCAGGCAGTGCCCTCACTCCTCACCATGGGGCACCATCCCACAGCCAGTGGGCTGAGGAGAATCTGTCAACAATCCAAGACAAAGAACACAATGAACCAGATCCATAGTCAAGTCATGCTTCTGCTCCAGCTGGGAGCAGAATTGACAAAGCAAGCAATGAACCCAAAATCCATCCAGGGCAGAATTGGCATGAGAACTAGAGATAGAGGAGCTGGCATCCTGAGGCGAAGTTGAAATGGTGTCCTGGGCCATGGAGCCCAGGGGTGACTGGGCAGGACCAGAAATCCTATTAGTGCGTGCTGGGCTCTGAAAAATGCCAACTGACTCTTCTTTCTTCAAAACAAACCAAACCAAATGTGAAGGTCACATGATTTCACTGCTGTGGTCAGGATGAACAGCAGTAGAAAAGATAACTCTCTTGTTAGATTGTGATTTGGAATGATCTTTCTTCATAAGACAAGAGGTAATGGTCTTAAGTTGCACCAGGGGAGGTTCAAGTTGGATATTAGGAAAAATTTCTTCTCAGGAAGGATGGTAATGCATTGGAACAGGCTGCTCAGGAAGGTGGTAGAGTCACTTATCCGGAGGTGCTCAAGAAAAGGGTAGATGTAGCACTAAGTGACATGGTCTAGAGCTGTCACAGGCATGGGTTGATGGTTGGACTAGATGATCTTACTGGTCTTTACAATTCTCTAATTGATTCTGTTGCAATTCAGGAGTTAGATACATCTTTCCAAGGGTCTGCTCATCTTCCTCCTCTCGCACCTTCCTCTTCCTCTAAGGAGGCATTACTGGAGGTAATGTTTGGGAAGCTTGGCCTCACTGAGGCCTTATGAGCTCATCTATTAAAGTAAAGAGAGAAGGAAGAGGTCCAGCATGTTTATGAGTTTATGAGAGCAACCTTTGATGAAAGATGCTTTGAAGAGCATAGCTATAATGAGGGGAAAAAATCCTGCAACAGAAAGTTCAGTAGGGAAGAGATTTTTGTTTCATTCCAGCTGTGTCTTTCTTCCATTATCTGACCAGCTGAAACCCAACTCCTCTGAAGTGAATCTTTCCCACACTGTCTGGAAATCACTGGTCATCAATGCATGGCCATACATTTTGATCTTTCTTTTCCGGTAAACAGAGGAAGTTCAAAGTCTTCTCTTCAACTCCCCCACACTGCTGTAAGACCAGAAGCTCCAATGCTATAAAAGAGTAAGGCAAGAACAGTTAGCTTTTGTTTATGAAGAGAAATAGAATAATGTAGATATAGTGAAATAAGTGTGTTTCTTGGCATAATACACTTTGTATGTAAAATTTCTTTCCCAGAATAAAAGTATTTTTACTGTGGACTCACCAGCTCTATACAAAATTTTTGTTCAGGAATAATCCCTCCATTCTGAATGCAGATAAACTGCTTACTGGGGAACAGTGTCTGCACAGTATGTGCACCAGCACAGCTGGGGAACTATGGGAACTCTCCTATCCTCTCCTCTTTAGACATTTTTCTCCATAAGCAAATCCTTTTAGAGTCTGGGGATGTGTGTTTGAGAAAGAAATAAGAGAATATTTTACAATCAAAATTACCCAAACCCCAAATATTATAATTTCGTGAAAGTATAATCTACTTCTGTAAGATATGCAGCCCTCCAAACTACTCACTGCACTGTGAAGACCAGTAGAGGAGCAGTGGAGCTCCTGAGAACCTGATATTTCATGAGCATTCGAATGCGTGAACTCTTGATTTCCCACTGCTCTGTATCGTGCTTTAGTTACTGTGGTGCCAAAGAAGACAAAGATCCAGTTGAACCTTTCTCATTGATGTGACATATACAGGTAGATCTTCAGCTGTGTAACACCATGTGAACTCCTGATGCCTATCAGAGTGACCCTTACAGATTCACATCTAACTCGCTGATGTCCCAATTTCAGACAAAGTGGAGGTTTCAATACAAATCAGTATTTGCATAGAATACCAATCTTGAAGCTACCACCACTTAGGATGCCCAGGAATGGCCCATCTCAAGCTGTGGTACCCATTCAGAAAACTTTGGAAGTTAGGCTGGCAAAAGCTGATTGGCCTTTAATAAAACCCACATATCTCTTCCAGCCTAGTCTGGAAAGCAAATAAAGTGGGGGGAAATTAACAAAGTAAATGAACATCTGAAGTTTAACCTAATTTTTAGTTGGTTTTAATTGAAGAGACAGTGGCAATACTGCCCAATCTCTTTCTTGGATGGCTTTCAAAATAATTAGGAGGTCTTTAAATTAAAAAAACAAAACAAAAAAAAAAAAAAAAAACCGGTTGAGAATTGCTGTGCTGGAAAGCCTTCATCCCAGCAGAGAAATGTGCAACACTGGAGGCAGAAACTCAGAGCCATAGGGAGAACTGAAGCTTGAGCAACACAATGCAGAGGGCAAAGTGACAGAGGAACCATTATGAAACCCAGGTAAAAGGAGAGACCTTGAAAAGGAGAGCAGCTTTGTAATCCCCCCTACCCAAAATACAGAGGAGCAGCACTGAACGAGAGAGACAGACTTCTTCATATAATCAGGCATGATAAAGGACTTCCCATTAAAAAGCAATAAAGAACAATTAAGCCCTATGGGAAGGCGGAAGAAGCGGTAGGAACAGCAGAAGCCTCGATGGCAGGCAGCTGCCCCATGGAGACGTGGCGATAAAAGCAAGAGCCCATCCTGCAGGGGATCCTGCCCACCTGGGCACCGCAACCTCTGCCGGGGAGCATCACCCTACAGCAAGCCACAGCGCGGACAAGTGGGGGCTGTCAGCCACACGCAATGTGCTGGGTGTTGGTTCTCCGTGGGACTGGGGAGAGGTGGCAGTAGCGTGTGTGTGTGTATCTCGCGAAGGCTCTGTGTTTCTGCTGGGGGGGGAGGGGAGCAGCGTGCATCCCTAGTTGGGCAGGAGATTGGGCTTCGCGTGCGCATCCCCGGCCGGCGGTTAGTGCAGGGCTCTGCGTGTGCACGTGGATGTGCGTTGCACACACACCACCTGCCCGGGAGCTGCCGCGAGCCGTGCGCGCTCTGCTCCCCTTACCCGTGCCGTACGGAGGGGGTGTGCAAGTCGCCGGGCGGGGGGGAAGGGAGGGTCGGAAGGGTCCGGGATCTCCCCGCGTGCTCCGGCCGGGAGCGGCCGTGCCCCCCCGCCTCACCGCCGCCGCGCACAGCCGCAGACACGGGCGGCCGCCGGCAGCTCGCATGCAGCCGGGGATTACAGCGGGGCGAGGGCAGCGCGGGCTCGGCTTTTCTCGCCCCCCCGCCCTGCTTCCCTCCCGCTCCCCCCGCTCCGCCCGCCGGCCCCAGCAGCTCGCCGCGCCGCTCGCTCGGCAGCTTCGCGTCTCCGGCGGGTAGGAGGGAGATGCCTTCGCCGTGGTTTTTCCAACCCCAGCCCTCTCCGTGCCGGGGGGGGCGGTGATGTGGAGCCGAGAATGTAGAGCAAAGCCCTCCCCGGGAAGGAGCGACCAAAACAAACGTCTCGCCGTGGCTTTGGCGGCCGCGCAGTGCCCGGGGAAGCCCGAGCAGCCCCTGCCAGCACTGGGGAATCCCTCCTCCAGCCCCCGGCGGTGCCCCGGGCGCCCGCGGAGCAAGGTAAGCGGCAGGGCATCCCTCCTCCCGCCGAGGGCTGCGTTTTGCTTATATTCTTTTGCTTTTTTTTTATTTTTTCGATTTTTTTTTTTTTTTTTTTTAAGAACCCGAGTCATCCACGCCTCCCGAACAGCTGCGAGTTGCGAGGGAGGCGAGCGCTGCCCCCGCGGGATGCGTTCCCCCGGGCCGGGGGAAGTGCGGGGAGCCCCGGGGAGCCCCGGGCTGCGGAGCGGGGGGAGCTCGGCGGGGCCGCTCCAGAGCGCGGGTTCTCCCCGGCCGCTCGGGTCAGAGAGAGGATAACGTAGTCCTCACTCTGGAGCGCTTTGGAAAGCCTGCCTTGTGTTTTTGTTCCTTCGGCGCTGTTAAAGCAGTGGGAAATGGCATATCGTAGTATTCTGCCTCCTGCCGTGGGTGAGCTTTAAAGATAAAAGGCTCGTCGTTTGTTTCCAATGCTCTGGTGGAGCCGGGGAACCTGATGATAGAAACCCTCGGTGTTCTCAATGGATGGCTGTCATCTGAATTAACCCGAGTGCCGGGTGATTGAAAATCCCCTCTCCCAAAGCTGGAAATACGGGAGCACTGTGCTTGTCTAAAATATACCGGCATACATCCTCTCCATAGATACATCGCATGCTGTCATGGCTTTAAACACCCCAGCATCTTTATAACTGGGCATGTTCGCCGCATGGCTCCTTCAAACCATTCAGTCTACCAGCATTTCAGTGGCTGTGTGAAGGTGGACTGTTGTATATCCCCAATGTATGGGTCACATTCACAGTTGGACTTCATTCAATTACATAATGATTAAGATATAAATAAGCAGTGTATGTGCAGTTTCTTGGACATTTTCATTCATCGCAGCTAAGGCCATCTATATAGGATTGCTGCCAAAATTGTCACTTTTTAAACGTTTGGATGAAAAAGGAAGTGTCAATAGCATCAGGTGGAGGCAACAGTCCTAAGCAAACACACAGGCAGGCAAACCTTGCTGCTTAAAGGACACCTAAGAGAAAGATCTTAGTGACCCCATCCTGTAGCCCTGAATAGGCTGCTTTGGGAGAGAAAGACAAGCAGCAATGCTGGACAGGTTGGGGAGAGAGAAAAGCCTTATCTGCTGATATTTGGTTTTAAAAACAATAAGCTTGCTCAGCTGGCATGTTGTATCCAAGTTTGTGCAGAGCCTCAGGGCTGAGCTAGGTGTGAGGAGCTCAGAGTCTGACCTAGCTCAGTGCAGCCTTGTGCCAGGAAGTTGGTAGCGCTACTTGGAGGTCTGCTTGTCTGCCATCACCCGAGGTGTGCTGTTAGAGCTCTGGAAGTCTTTGCCAGGGAGAGGAGATGCAGCACACGCAGAAAGTTTGTTGTGGATCCTTAGTGCCTCTTCCTTTCATTCAAACAATTCCTGATGCACAGACCCCTAGCTCAGCCTTACTGCAACTTGCAGCTGCCTTTTTTCATATGGTGCTTCTACATGGAGCCCTCACCACAGCATGCACAGTGCTGTAACCTCCTTTCTCATCTGGACGTTGTCACGAAGCTCAGCAGGGTGGCCTCATTCAGACACACACAGGCAGGAAAAGTGAAAATAACTCCAGCTCAAGATGAAGGAGAAGCAATGTTTGGAGCAGCATGCTTCTTTCTTAGCATCCTCATTGGCTTCAGCATTTTGAAAGGCACTGTTGCCATAAGGATGCCACATCAGATGTACTTATTTATTCATGCTCAGCCTTTTTTCCAAAGTGCAAGTTAATTGGCAAATTCTGGCTTGCCATTCAAGGCAAGGCGAGGAGTGGAGATTTGCAACAGCTTTCCTTTCAACGTTTGGGATTTTGCCATCAGCTTGCTACTGGGACTTTTAGAAGGAGATCTTGATCTTATGTGACTTCCTTGGGCTTCGTGTCCGTACATGTGCAGGTAAACTGTTCTTCAAGGCTCCGCTATATTTAAAGCTACCTGCTGGAGAACACTGCAGCCAGCTCTGGGCTCCGCATGTTGTCCTTACGTAAGCAGTGCTGGGGAGGGGCTGCCTGCTCCCCAGGCTGAGGGGCTGGGGGAGAGGGGCTCGGTCAGCAGGCACAAGGTCTCTATGAAGCAGTAGCCGTGGGGCTGCAGTGCTGGAGGACCTGTCTGCAGACCCTTCCGGAGGGCTCTGCTGCCCGAGCACGGACCTGCTGCTCCCACAGGCAGCGTCGAGAGGGAAAGGAAAGCACTGAAAGTTGCGAGCTATTCCAGCTCAGCTTTGTCTGGGCAGACATACAGACGTTCTAAGAATTATTATTTTTTGAAATATATTTTGAGGGATTCTTGCATAGTACCTTCTAGGAATTTGATGTCTTGTATTTTGTAGTAAACCTTAGGGACATATGGTTTTAACTCACAGTTTAGCAAGTAGAAATGAATGTCTACTTCCTAACCATAATTTCAACTGTTAATCAAAATAAACTTTAAGATTTTTAATTGCAGAGATCTCTTAAAGATGTACAGTAGTGTTTTGTTACACTATGCAAACAAATTGATTGACACATCATAGCCTAACTTTATTCCTGTTCTAAGTGTAGTGTTCAGTAAATCCCAGAGTTACTCTTGCTATATGGAGAGGATTTGGAAGGAATTTCATTATTCTGACTTTTTCTTAAATGGTATATGGCTTTGGATATTACACTGTATGCTGTAATAAATAGACTGCTGTGGTGCTTGAATTCAATTCAAGTAGAATGTATCTATATTCAATCCTGTGATTAAATACTGTAAGTGAGCAGAGAAGCTGAATTCTGGTCTTTTATTGATCGGAACTTGAAAGTTTTTTTTATCTCGGGCAGTTCTAGATGTAATGATAGTCCCAGATAGCTTTGTAAGTCACTAAATGCCATGAAAGATTTAGCTATAGAATGCATCAGTCAAGATACTTAAAATCTATTCCGCTTAAAGCTGTCTGTATTCTCTGTTAAAGGGGGAAGTACAGCAAAGGCTATTCTGCTTTTTGTGCATCCTCAAGCTCATTACAGCACACAAAGGAACTTCAGTCTTACATTGACATCTGCCTAGAGTTAGAGTTCACTTATTTACTGAGCAATATGTCATCACTTTCTTCCAAGGCTTGAGAGCTGGAGTGAACTAAGTAGTTGTATTGCTGCTTTTTTTCACCAGCACTAAAAATATGAAGACATTAGCTGTGTAATCAGTAAATAATGAATATTATTTGGAATGCGTTTGTTCATGGATTATGGTGACCGCAAGAAACTGTAATGGAAAAGTCTTAGGCCATTAAAATCTGTGGGGTTTTTAATTTTCTTGTTTTTAATGCAGGAAATCTATATTTAACCATAATGGCAGATCAGCTCTGACTTAGGTGTCTGGCTTCTATATGTTGTAGTTCCCCCTCTGGATGACTGTAAAGAGGAGTAGTAACATCACTGCTGGCAGCAGCAAGAATTAGAACCAACAGTCTATCTGATAATAAATAATATATGTCACATTGGCATAATGCAGCTCCGAGTATTAAGAATAGGCTGTGATAAGCAGCACTTACCATCTTTACAAGGCGCAGTGGCTATCTACCATTTTGCCTCACGTAATACCATGATAGTAGGATCACAGTATATTCTGAAATTGTGCAAGGGCAAATGCAGTTGGAGTCTAAATGAAGGTGCCAAGCAGATCTGTTATCACATGTGACACAGGAGGATCCTCAGTGCTGGTCTCCCCGAGAAATCACGCTCTTACAAGATATTCTTTGTGCTGCCATTATATGTGGTTATTACCTATTAGGAAATAAGCATCAGCTCTTCAGGTAAAACTGTGTAACAAGGGAGTGAATGCAAAGCTGTACTGATAATTAACTGAACAAAGCTGAAACATAATCTTCTTTGATGACACTGGAGATGAGCTTCTCTCCCTGATTGCCTAACAAGTTAAGAAAGGGAAATCAATTATGGCAGTACAGTCCAAATACATTTACCTCAGAACATTAATAAGACATCTCAAGGCAGTTCGTAAAACAGTTTTTCCCAGCATCTGATCAACTGTTAACTTTTAGCTATATTTTAAATACATAAGCAAGCTTAACAACTCAAATTGAGTCCACAGCGCTGCTTTTTACAGAGGTTTCAGTGGTGTCTTGCCCTCTTAAAGTGTGAGGTTTTGGTTCATCTGTGGAAGTTTATGAGCTTGTCTCAGCTGGCTGTACTCAGATGACTGACGAATCCTACCTTAAATTACTGCCATACGTTCAGTGTGAATTTGAATGTATCA